GAAATCAAGGGTATTCAGTTAGGAAAAGAAGAAGTCAAATTGTCCCTCTTTGCAGATGACATGATTGTATATTTAGAAATTCTCTATGATTTTTAAATCTCCAGTTCTTTCCAGGACCTTCCATGAGAATTCCTCACTCCTCTTCCTGCTCACTGTCCAGCCACAGCCATCCTTTATCACATACGTTACAGTCTATAATATTTTTTACAACTATGATTGCCATTTGGCTCCTTTGTTCAATGGATCTTCCTTATGATCCAAGTTAGAAATGCAAAATGCTTGTTCCGCAGTGCCACAACAAATAGCATTCGATCATTAATTTTCTCAAAAAGGTAATTTTTACTTTCTGCAGAAAGGGCGGGCACTTCTTGCAGATGAAACAACGGCTGCAGAAAGGGTGCTCCTTGCAGATGAAACAACAGCAAGAGCACACCTGGACAGGGGAGGGGCAGGAGTTCTTATTCCTGATGCAGGTAGCCCCTACTACTGTGTCATTCCCCTAGTGGCTAGGGTTGGACCGCACCCTCTAAGCTAATTCCGATTGGCTATGGAGAGGGGAGGGGTATGAGCCAGAGTGGTGGGGTGAGTAGTTTGGCAGGAAGGATGGTTAGGGACGGGTAAGTAAAGGTGACTTAGGTCAGAACAGGTAACAGGGATGAGTCAGGATGGAGCAGGTGACCAGGGGAACAGATGTGAACTATTGAGTTAGGGCTGGCGGGAAAGTTCTTTACTGAAACTAGAAGCAAGGGGCCCGAAGAGAACCAGGAAGTTAAACTTTAAAATGGAGAACCAAAGAATAAGAGAGCTGGCCATACTGACATGCTGATTCTTATAACAGAAACTTGGGGTTCACTATATTTAACAATACACATAGGTCATGTTTCCCCTCACCCCTTTAGCCAGACTGATCACAGGTACTTAAGTTCCTGTGGGATGGGCAGTGCCCATAGTTCTGCTTCACTGGTTTCTATTTTTGGGTGTGTTGCCATTCTTTTAAGGTAGTGCTTCTACTAAGAAGCCTAGTTATTTTGGCTTGTGAATGCAGATTCGCCTAGGCATATTAGATATGAATCTGGTAATGGGGAAGAACAAAGGCTAAATCCTCTGTCTGTTGAGGGTTAAAAGTGAGAGGGGAAGAGCCCTAGAGCAGCAGTCCCCAACGTTTTTGGCACCTGGGACCTGTTTTGTGGAAGACAATTTTTCCACTGACCAGAATGTGAGGGGCGGTTTCAGAATGATTGGAGCACATTATATTTATAGTGCACTTTCTTTCTATTATTATTGCATTGTAATAGTAGTGACAGATCATTAGCCATTCAATTATCATAAGGATCATGCAACCTACAACGTTCACATGCACAGTTCACAACAGGGGTTGTGCTACTATGAGAATCTAATGCTGCCACTGATCTGACAGGAGGCAGAGCTCAGATGGTAATGCAAGCTATGAAAAGAGGCTGTAATTCAGATGAACTTCACTGGCTTGCCACTCATCTCCTGCTCTGCAGCTCAGTCTCTGACAGGCTTGGGGACCACTGCCCTAGAGCACAAGACCCAAGGACAAGCTGCCATGCTTGTCCTCTGGTTAGGGCTTCACCTTCAAACTCCCTGAGAGATAGTCTGTTTGTAATCCACCCGTGCTGGAGTTTGCAGGAGGAGAGGGCTAGGGAGCAAATGCTCTGGCAGTTGGTCGTCTATTTTCATCAGTCGCTCATGGCTTTTGCTGTGCTCCATGGTCCCCTAGAGCACCTGTGACCTAGTCTATTGCAGCCTATTCCTACAGTGAAGGGGAGGCTGTGATGGCCTCAAAACCCATGACTATAGGGATAGAAGCAGAATTTAAGAGTATTCCTCTCATCTTTCTCTGGCTGACTTCTCCAGCCACCATCTGCCCCAGGCTGCAGTCACTCTATTCACACTCACCCTTCAACACACCAGCACAGCCTCCAGTTTCCACCTTTTCTGGGTTCCATTTTGTCTCATTGCAGAAATCCATGTTGAACTGTCTTTTCCATGGTTCCTCCACAATTAACAACCTGCATCCTCTTCCCCTTTCCTCTCTTCCAAACTTGGAGTCATGGCCTGGGGGCTCCACCGCTGTAAACTATGCCCCAACCCACCCAACCCACCAGAGAAGGATCCTTGCGTGCCCTGGACCTGATTTGAAGGTTCAGGAGCTAATCAGGTCCTCCCTCCCCAAGACCTCCCTCCCTCCCATTGTTAAAACCTCTGACCTACCTGGTCTCAGAGCCCTTGATGGAGGGATGGCCAGAGGTCCCCTCTGGAGAATTGATCAGAACTAAGGAGGACACAAAGAAGACAGTGGCTGCCCAGGGGACCAGAATAAAGAATGGGATTGGGTCCCAAAAGTGTGAGAGGAAGGGGAGAGGGACCAGAGGCAGCTCCTAAGGGTCCCTCAGGCTAAGGGTAACTGAGGCCTGAAATCTCCATATCCGGCTAAAGTTAAGTCTGGTAGTGTCCTCTCCATGCTGGTGGGAGGCCAGTGGCAGGAGGGCTGGGACACATGTGTGCAAGGTGTCCCATATAGACTCCCCTCTAGGGACACCTGCCCATCATCGTGAGAACATAGCGATCTTCTGATCACATCAGATAGTGCATGTTTCTCTCCCTGGGAGTCAGTGGGCCCTGAAGGTAGCTTCCCACCAGCCCAGGCCCCAGGAGATCAGTCCTCAGAGGCAGTCCTCCCTGGTTTCCCCTTCCCTGAATCTGAGGCTCCCAAGCTGCCTGGTGACCCTTCTAATCTCCCCCTACTGAGGCCTCCAACCTACCTGTGCTTGTTGCAAGCCAGGGAAAGGTCCACATAGGAGATGTTGTTGGGGCTAAAGAAAAAAGCAGACAATGACTCTCCAGGGGCCCAGAAGAGAGTGGGGTCTACCCCATACATGAGAGGAGGTAGGGGCCCAGAGCCAGACCCTCAGGATGTCTTAGGCCGGGAGTGTCCTGTGCCTCAGATCTGCATAACAGAGCTGTGGGTGTGTGTGTGAAAAGAAGAGTTGTGGGTGTGCCTGTGTAACACAAAGAGAGATGCAGAATGACAGAGAGACTGTGTCTCTGTCCAGGGATCTCTGGGGGTATCTTCCCAACAGTTGAGGCCAGGATGTGCCGGGTGAAGGAGAGGTGAGAGTCCATGTCTAGGGACAGAATCTTTGCTCCCCTCGGGTCAGAGCAGAAGACCTGGCAGGATGGGGGATGATAGAGGCATGGGAGGGGCTGCATGACATTTCCTTCAGGTCCCTGGGGGGTGGCACAGAGGTATTTCCTCAAGAAAAGTGCTCACCTGAAGACACCACCAGATCGATATCTCTAAGAACGGTGATGACTTTTTTGGAAGTGCTGTAAATTCCACACCAGTAGAATCCCGAGTCGTTCTGTGTCAGCTGAATCATGGTGATGTTAAAGAAGCCAGCGTCGGGCTCATCCCAGATTGTGTAACCAGACTTCTGAACTGCTGTCCGGGGCTTGGAGCTGGTGACAAGTATGGTACACCAATCTGGAGATGTCTGCTGACACCAGGTCTTGGACTGATAGGGTCCTGTCTTGGGTGAGTACTGGCATTGCAGGAGGAGGGTCTGTCCTGGGTGTTTGTGAAGTTCTTCAGGCACGGCGCCCTTTACCCAGGAACCTGCTGAAAGATACCGAGGTCAGAGCTCTGAAGGGACCCAACCTCCCCCATCACAGGCTCGGGAAGGGGAGAGGGAACTACTTCTGATGCCCACACATGGAAGAGGGCCCCTAAATTCTGTCCTGTGGTCACAGAGCCACGCTGCTTCCCTGCCCCACTCATTCTTCATCCTACTCCTTATACCCCCTGCCCTCTTTCCTTCCATGTCACCTGAGGCCAGGAGCAGCAGCAGCACAGGTGGAAGCAGCAGGTGTGGACTCTCCCAGGCCATTCCAGCCCAAATCTGTTTCTGACAGTGGAGGAGAGGATAAAAAAGGGAGTCCCCTCAGGAGAGGGAGTCAGATGCTCTGCCTGATTCTGCCCCAGGTTCCCAGTGTCTCTCATCTGGGAAAATTGAGGAAGGTCAATGCCTTGACCGAAATGGTCGGCCTGGGAGGGCAGGCTCTGCAGACCAGGGGAGGAGGGGCAGCCAGGCCTGGACAGCAGCCATCTGCTACAGGGTCTGTCTCTGGGCCTGGTCACCTCAGCCCTCCTGTGTTGCTCTGCTGCCTTTCACTGAACTTCTCCCCGCGTCTGCTGCTTTATGCCTTCCAGCCCATCATACTGCTCCTCTGTTGCTAGGGGCAGCTCTCAGGATGGCCAAGAATAAAGCTGGTGAATAAAGCTGGGTCATCCCTCCTTCCTTCTCTCTATGCACTTCCTATAGGTGGTCAGGGCACTTGGAGGCATAACCAGACCCCTGAGTCCTTCTGGTCTCAGCCATGGTGGATTGATGATGAGTTTTGATCCTGGGACATTTTGTAGAGGGCAAATTTTAATCCCAGGAATTATAAGATGTACCCTGGAAATGGTGGGGCCAGGAGAGCAGGGAGGAAAGAGAGTGCTGGTCAGGGATATTTGGAGGGGAAGGCAGGCAGGAGTGGATCAGTTATGGGAGCTTGGGATCATCTCAATCAGTGCTTGTTGGATGAATACATGAGTGGATGAAAGAACAACGTGTGTGTAAAATGTACAGTAGAAGAAAATGGCCAAAGTGAGAACTATCTAGCAACAAAATCAAGTGGTACTGGATTACCACCCAATGTGTATATTAAAATTCTAGGAGTCCATGCTGATGTAAGTAAATGACTGAATAAAGAACCGTGGGAGAATAGACAAATATCCCATGTATAAGGATTCTGCCGTGTTCAGAATGTTGGTGTTCCTCCACCTCGTATATTCAAACTTAATTTCCACATGATAGCGTTAGGAGGTGGGATCTTGTGGGAAAATCTGGTCATGAGGGTGTCACCCTCAAGAATGAGATTAATGCCCTTATACCAGAGACTGCAGGAAGCAGATTTGCCCTGTCTGCCATGTGAGGACAGTGTCACACCTTCAGTCAACTGAGGTTACTGCAAGAAAGCACCACCTTGGAAGCAGAGAGCAGCCCTCAGCAGATAACAAATCCACTGACACCTTGATCTTTGACTTCCCAGCCCCCAGAACTTTGAGAAAGAGATTTCTATTATGTATAAAGTCCCCAGTCTAAGGCATCTTCTCATAGCAGCCTGAAGGAACTGAGAGATTGCAAACAACTCTTATAGGTTCTGCTCTCAAGGGGGAGCGTAAATTCCCACTGCTAAAGCGTGGGCTGTGCAGGTGACTTTCCTCCAGAGGACAGCATGGGGAAGGAGGAGAAGAGTAACTGTACAGTGGAGAAACTTCACGCTTACTGTGGCAGCCAGGCAACCAAGATGCAGACCCACAGGGATAACTCTGGTTGATAGAATGTGTCACTGACATTGATGTGTAATTAGCTGTGCAGACTCCTTCCCCAAAGCCACTAGCCCCAGGAGAAAAACATCAAACAAATTCCACATGAGGGACATTCTACAAAATACCTGAGCAGCATTCCTCTAAACTGTCAAGGCCATCAAAACTAAGAAATAATTCTCAGAAACTGCCATGGATAAGAGGAGCCTAAGCAGACATGAAGACTAAGCAATGTGGTGTCCTAGGTGGGATCTGGAGCACAGAAAGTACATGAGAGGTAAAGCCCAGGAAATCTGAATGAATAAGGACTTCAATTAATAAATCTACAAAGCAATGTGGTGTCCTAGGTGGGATCCTGGAGCACAGAAAGTACATGAGGTAAAAGCCAGGGAAATCTGAATGAAGTAAGGACTTCAATTAATAAAATCTACCACAGAAACAGAGTAGAATAGCATTAGCAGAGGCTGGGGATTGGACAGACTGGGTAGGTATTGTTGAAGAAACACAATTTAAGTTAGACAGAAAAATAAGTTCAAGAGATCTATTGCACAGTATGGTGAGTGCAGTCATAACTATGAATTGTACACTTGAAAATGACAGAGAGTAGATTTTAAATGTTCTCACCACAAAAAAATTAAGTGTATGTGGTATTGCTTGATTTAGTAATTTCACAGTTAATATACACATCAAACTATCCTACCATGCACTATAAATGCATGAGTTCTACTCATCAATTTTGTAAAATTATAGTAATGTATCAATATCAACTCATTAATTGTGAGATATGTAGCATACTAGTGGACTAGATTAATAGTAGAAGACATTGAACATAGCACATCAGGGATGTGTGCAATACCTACACAATTCTTCAGTGAATCTGAAAGCATTCTAAGTGTAAAAGATTAATTTTAATATGTATAGAAACGATTTACCCAAAGCATATGAATAATCGCTTGATACATAACAAACAGCAAAGTTTTAAGAAACCTTAGTATGGTTAGGTGTAAAGCACAGTGACTGCAATGACTGTAACTATTCAAAGGATTCGTTCATCCCAGGTCTGCTTGCCGCTCTGCACAGTGGCCATGGATATGTCCCTGTAGGTGTGGAATTCACAGGGCTGGTTTTTCCTTAGTGTTACATCAGCGAGCTCTCCCTCGGTGCGTTCAGTCTTCATGGTGTCTTGTTGAGATAATTGGATCACTTCAACACCCTAAAATGGGCAGGAATTCCGGTCTTCTGAAGACCCACTTGTTCCTGGTCCTGCTGTGGAATGGAGCCCCCAGGAGCCCCAGGAAGAAGGACAAGAGGCAGGAGGAGGTGAGAACCTGGAGTTTCTGAGGAAGAGGACCAGGAGGCCTGCAGCCCAACCTGTCATTAGGCATGGGGAGGATAGTCAAGTAAGAGGGAAAAAAAGGAGCAGAGATCTCCAGCTACTTCCTGCACGTGGCCTTGTGCTCTCGTCACTATCTGACCTAGCAGCTCAGCTACTTTGTCTAACTGGACTTCTCGGCTCAGGAAAAGGCCTCTGCCTGCATTAAGGTCTTAGAGTCGATGTTTACCACCGTCTCTAGCTTCCTACATGTCTAGACGCCATGGCCCCAGCACTGCCTGCCATGCGGGTCCTGCCTCAGACTGTGCTGGTGCTTGGCCCCCTTCCCAGTAAACTAACCTCACATGAGTGGGGTCACATGGCAGCTCCTCTTGCTGAAGCTAATGTAGATGACTCCAGCCTGCACATCCCCATGCCCATGAGTACTTAGTGGCTGACTGCACACTATGGCTCCTGAACCTGTGCCATGTTGTACTGCTACCCTACAGTGCACACTCTTCCTTTCCAGCCACACTGTCCATTCCCTGTGGGCCAGGACAGCTTCTCTCACTTCCAGAGCCCTGCCTTGCTCATCCCTGTGGTGTTGTCCCTGCGTTTTTGTTGGTCTGATATGGAAGGGGCCACAAAGCACATCTCCAGCCTCCTTCCCTTTTCACTGTGGAGTTTGAGTTGGAGAGTGCGGCAGGGACATGCCCAAGATTTCACAGAGAATGTCACAGCTGTGCTGGGGGCATTTGAACCTGGTCCTCGAAGACATACCCAATGCATACCCACTGCGGAGCTGCTCCATCCACCCTGACTTCAGGCAGTATGTCCTTAAGGTTTCTGGAATATACTATCCCAAAATATGCCACTTCAGCATAAGGATGATTTTGAGCTGAAGACAAGTGTGAACCAGCAGGTCCAAGCAAAATTCTCTGCCCTCCCCATATCTGCCTATAATCAGAGCATAAAATTCCGTTTTTGGATGTGTCCCCCACTTCTGGAGTAGAACAGCACTCATAAAAGATGGACAGTCAACACTGAGAGGAGTTTGCATAAACATCTTGCTAAATTAGCCCTTGTCTGTCATTAGTTCCCCCCACAGATTTCCTAGTCACTTCCAAAGATAGGTTGCCCCTTGAAGCCCAGTTCCCCTTTTCAATTGTAAAATGGTCTATGAACCCCTGGTTCTAACTGTTTATTTGAGTTTCATTTCTTTCCTGTGAACTCCCATGCACATAAATCTTAATAAAAATTGTATGCTTTTCCTCCTATTGATCTGCCTTTTGTTAGTTTAATTCACAGGCTCTGAGATGAAGATCCTAAGAAGGTAGAGGATGTTTTGCCTCCCTGACAGTGCCCATCATCTGTCCAAATGGCCTGCACTGGTAGGCCCAAAGATATGACCCTTATGGAGGAGACTCAGGGGATAAAGGACAAAGAGCCTGAGGTGCCCACACACACACACACACACACACACACACAAAGAAGAAGAAGAAAAATAGCAAGTCTTTCCTTGAGACAAAAGATCAAAAATACAATTTTTTTCCCTTTCAGAGGAAAAACTACTTTAAAGAAATAAAAACTACCAGCCAAAGCACTCAGGAAGTGTCAAAGCATGTTGTGCTATAAGATGTTTAATCTGTATTAATAAGAAGATAAATTTATAGTAAGGAGCTGAATGCTTTATTAGCTGGCCAGTTATACTGAGGCAGAAGTCTATGCCTCAATGAAGCATGCCATCCTATATGTAGCAGTAACATCCTATATAATTTTCTGTGATGGTGGAAATGTTCTCGCTCCCCGTCCATCATTGTAGCCAGTAGCCATGCAGTTGTTGAGCACCTGTCATGTGGCAAGTGTAACTGAGGGACTGAATGTTTATTTTTTATTCAATTTTCATTAATTTACTCTTTACTTTTTATTTGTTTTTGTTATTGACACCTAATAATTGTACATATTTGTGGGAATACATAGTGTTTTGATACACATAGAGTTTTCAGATCAGGATAATTAGCATATCCATCATCTCAAACATTTATCATTTCTCTGTGTTGAGAATATTCAATATCCTCTGTATGAGAATATATATTATTGTAACTATAGTCATGCAACAGTGGTATAGAACACCATACACTTCCTCTCTAGCTGTAATTTTGTATCCTTTAACAAATCTCTGCCTATCCCCCTTACCGTTTTCCTTACCATTGTCAGCCTCTAGTAACCTCTGTTCTACTCTTTACTCCATGAGATCAGCATTTTTAGCTTCCACATCTGAGTAAGAACATGCTGCGTTTTACTTTCTGTTCCTCCCTATTTCATTTAACATAATGCCTTCCAGGCTCATCCATATTACTGCAAATGACAGATTTGTTCATCTTTTGTATGGTCTTTTGCATCTCAATTTCCTTCAGTTCAGCTCTGATTTTGGTTATTTCTTGTCTTC